GACGCAAGTACTTCAGCAAAGTAGTCCAGATTCTGGAGGTATTTGTGTATGTTTGTGAGGAAGCCAACAGCCCAAGCAGAGTCCACTTGTAGAGTAAAGTAATCCTCTGCAGCCAACAGGTAATAGCCGAACGAAAATAGAAAAAAAAGCATTACATAATATGCTGGAAATATTCGTTTTATACGCTTCTTGTAGAAAACCAAGAAGCTTGTTAAGGTAAAGCTTTTTTCTCTCATTAAAATCAGTGATATAAGATATCCAGAAATAACAAAGAATATATCAACGCCGAGAAAGCCACGAGGAAACAGCTGAGGATACAGGTGAAAAGCGAGAACGTAAATTATTGCAAGTCCTCTAAGGCCTTGAATGTCTTTGCGTTTTTTCGGAATTACCTTCTTATCAGAAACACCTTAAAAGATTATTAAGTTTGTAGCAACCAGTCATTTATTAGACAAAATATAAGACTAAGATCGTTTGCTCTGTGGCTTATTTTTCTAAAAAATCTTTTTTTTTACTATCGATAACGATAAGATATTTTAAAAAATAATTGGTAAAGCTTTTTTTGGATTACTGATTATAGAAAATAGTATTAGTTTCATATTGCAATGTGAACTATGATTCTCACGACTACTTCATCTTTGGCCCAATGCTAAAGCCATTTTTACCAATTCCTTTTTATTTCGGTCAAAAAGGGCAGAATTGACAAGTATGCACCGTTTTCATTTCCATGACTTGACTTTACAACATCAACGTTCTTTAATCTGTTCTATTCTCTAGCTAACTAAAAATTATTAGTTTTCTGATAGACATTACCTGCAGTGTTGTTTCCTACCTCCTTATCAGCGGCAATCATCCTGTGGGAGAGCGACAGCAAATTTAGTTTAACGATTTCTCACAGAAGTAATCTCCTGTTGTATATTTCAGTGAAATACTAAATCGAGATTCAAAAACTGTAAGCAAAGCACTTAAATTAATTAATCTAAATTTTGCTTTATAACCGTATTAACGACCTTAAAAGTTTTTTTGCTTTTATTTTTTCTAAAAAGTGCAAATATTGAAACCATGAATACCGGAAAAGGTCTTAAAACAAAAAACTTCAAAATATGAAAATTGACAAATTTTTAGAGCCGTTTTCGTATTGACTGTCCTTGAGAACAAGGTTAAATTAAAAATTCATTTCTGCTCACTGCGGTGCTAAACTGTGCATAGTTGCCTTCAGATCTCAACTATCTGATCCAGGAAGCACTATTGCTCCGATAAGAAACTTCATTTTATCTTTTCTACTTATAGGTGTATAAAACAACTTTGCATTGACGTTCCAGACAGACGACTTTTAGATGATGTCTTCCAATAGGATACAGTTGTGCAAAATACAGCTGTTACAGTAGACTCATTTTTCGCCTTATAAAATTTACAGTTGTAACCAATTCAGAGTTTCTAATTTCGCACAGTAGCAAGCCTTTCCACAGCTGCTCTGCTCTATTCAA